AAAATGGCAAGGTGGTCAAATCCTGGGAAGCTGGGCTGGGGAAACGGCAATTGTACTTTTCTTTATTTTCTATTTCACTAATTGTAGTTTAAATCTGTTAAATTTTTTTATTGAATTTAATATAATTAATATTTTTAGTTCGTTAAATATTTAACGATATTAAAATAAAATTATTTTTTATTAATATAACAACTCATTTATAATTTCGTTAAGTGAAAAACGATCGACTGACAAAAAAAACTAATTATGTTAAGATTAGTGAGAAAATTAAAGGAATTTAGAGTACAATAAGTAAAATAAAAAATAAAACAAAATACAGTGATGATTCAAGTAATTTACCCTAAGATTATTTATCACAATTTCTCATATAATCAGAACATCACTCTCCATCTGTTTCTTCTAATCTGCAAGTTCTTTTGTTCTTATTTGAACTCTATTTAATCTTTCTCCTTCCTTAAACTTTGATTGAAAAAGTTATAATTTTTTTAAAAAAATTCTTTGGGTTTGGTTTTATTCTTTTGAGAAAGCAATCTCCTTCTCCATCTCTTTATCTTCATTCTTCTCCCCATTTACAATTTCCTTCTGTGTTTATCTTATGTTCTGAGAAAAGTTCAAATCTTTTTTGGAGATTCGATTTCTCAATTCTTTTGAAGGAACCATAAGAGAGACATGGAAGCTGTTCTACAAACAAGAGGGCTTCTTTCACTGCCACCAAACGCAACCAGAATCAGAAGCCTCTTGAACCCGTCACAAGGCTTAAAGCAGAGGCTTTTTGCCACAAAACCCTTAGGCCTCAATGGGTTATCTCTATCTTATAAAAGAGTTCGAAGCGTTGTAGCCAAACCAAATGGTTTATCCCCAAAAGGGAAGAGCTTTATTTGCAAGGCTGAGGCTGCTGCTGCTGCAGCTGATGGGCAGCCTTTGTATGGTGAAACTCAGCCGCCAAAGTTCTTGGGTATCGAGCTTGTGACTCTCAAGAAGATTATCCCACTCGGTTTAATGTTCTTTTGCATCCTTTTCAATTACACAATCCTTAGGGACACAAAGGATGTGTTGGTGGTGACTGCTAAAGGAAGCAGTGCTGAGATTATACCATTCTTGAAGACATGGGTTAATTTGCCTATGGCTGTTGGGTTCATGCTGTTGTACACCAAGTTGGCTGATGTGTTGCCAAAGAAGGCTCTTTTCTACACTGTTATTGTTCCCTTCATAGCCTTTTTTGGTGCATTTGGATTCCTGTTGTATCCCCTCAGCAATTACATCCACCCTGAGGCACTTGCTGATAAGCTTCTTGCAGTTCTTGGTCCCAGATTCCTTGGCCCTCTTGCAATTCTGAGGATTTGGAGTTTCTGTTTGTTCTATGTCATGGCTGAACTTTGGGGCAGTGTGGTCATTTCTGTTCTGTTTTGGGGGTTTGCCAATCAGGTGAATACGTTATCTTATGGAATTGAATTTTGGATGTTATTTATCCCCATGATTGTATAAGCATGTTGGTTTTATATATATTGATTTTGTTCCAGAAATTAGTGGGTTTTAATTAAAATTTGTGAATCTGATAGGCTTTAGAATTGTCTTGTATCACCTAACATGCAAATCTCATTAGTTAATATATTCATGTAGTTGCTTGCTTCAGAACTAGTTAGCATCTTCAATGATTTTGCTTCTTTTGATTAGTTCTGGTTGATTTCCATATTTGAGAACTAGTTAGCGTGTTTGATGATACATTTGCTTCTAAGATTTTGTTCAAGTCCTTTAGTTCTAATTGCATTTCATTTAGACATCCACAAGTCTTCTGAAAGTTGTTTTATAAATCTCCTTACTCTTGATGAGATGGAAGTTAAAGTTCTACATTTCATGAATGCCATTATGCTATGTAACTTTTGCCTACCGATTCGGACAAGAAAAGGGTGATATTGTTTTCCTCTTCAAATTCAAGTTCTTTCACCATAACTGATTCCTTGAGTAAAATTATTCTTTGACTTGAAAATTTTACTGGATATCAAATCCATGAGGTACTAGGAAAAAATACAACTTAGATGAAATTTCATGTGTCTTGTATTTCTAGATGTAACATGAACGTCTCTCTTTCAGCTTCCATGGTGCATGCATGCTGAAGCAAAAGAGAAGGGTAAACAAGAAGATAGTCGAATATGACTTTAAAAATTCTGAAATCTCAATGTCTTTTTTGAATTTGTGCCTTGTATTTGGCCATTTATGCAGAATTCAAGTATTTGTGATTGTGGCATTTGCTTTACTGAATGTTAAGTGGCAACTGTATTTCTGTTCTTTCTTTTGGTGAATTTTGTCTACCTTTCTGTTAAATTGCATTTCTGAATTCTTCGCCTGATTTTAAGAATTAAAGCTGTATTTACCGAATGTTGCATTTTCTTGCTTAGATAACTACTGTAGACGAAGCAAAAAGATTCTATCCTCTATTCGGTCTAGGTGCCAATATAGCTCTCATTTTCTCTGGTCGAACTGTCAAGTACTTTTCTACTCTGAGGCAAAATTTGGGTACCGGTGTTGATGGTTGGGCTGTCTCCTTGAAGGGAATGATGAGCATTGTGGTGCTGATGGGGCTTACCATCTGTTTCTTGTACTGGTGGGTGAATAAGTTTGTTCCTCTTCCCACACGCAGCAAGAAGAAGAAGGTAATCCATTTTTGAGTTATTTTTCTTGTTTGTCATATTTGATTCCAAATGTTCGTTTGAATAATTTGAGTTGCTGAGATATTACGAGTTTAGAAGAAAAACTTTTCACCATGCTTAAGCTGTATATGCATTTAAAGTGATATTGTCGAAACACATATGAAGCCTCATTTCCTTTTATTGTCGGTCGGTCTGCAGGAAAAGCCTAAGATGGGAACAATGGAGAGCTTGAAATTCTTGGTGTCTTCAAGGTACATTAGGGATCTTGCTACTTTGGTGGTTGCATATGGTATTAGCATCAACCTTGTTGAAGTTACTTGGAAATCGAAGCTTAAAGCTCAGGTAAAATTCTTTGGTTGTTCTCCTGTATTCAGCTTTCGCTCTCTTTCTATATATATATATTGTAACTTGTTTAGTTACTAACGACTCTCCCTCCATATTGCAGTTTCCAAGTCCAAATGAATACTCCTCTTTCATGGGTGACTTCTCAACTGCCACTGGAATTGCGACATTCACTATGATGCTACTAAGTCAATTTATTTTTAACCAATACGGATGGGGAGTTGCGGCCAGCATAACACCCACTGTCCTGCTTCTAACTGGAGTTGGTTTCTTCTCCTTGATATTATTTGGTGGTCCTCTCGCACCAACTCTTACACAGTTTGGCATGACTCCTCTTCTTGCGGCTGTATATGTGGGTGCCATGCAAAATATTTTCAGCAAGAGTGCAAAGTACAGTTTATTCGATCCTTGCAAAGAAATGGCTTATATTCCTTTGGATGAGGACACCAAGGTTTGAAATCTTTATCGACAATTTGAACTTATGATTTTTCCGGGCAACTTCTGGTCGTTAACTTAGAATGTGTGTGATATTTTCTTTAGGTTAAAGGAAAGGCTGCCATCGATGTTGTATGCAATCCACTGGGGAAATCAGGAGGTGCTCTGATTCAACAGTTTATGATCTTGACCTTTGGATCACTTGCGAATTCAACCCCATACCTCGGAGGAATACTTCTGGTGATTGTTCTTGCATGGCTAGGAGCTGCCAGGTCTTTGGATACCCAATTCACAGCATTGCGCAGGGAAGAAGAACTCGAGAAGGAGATGGAAAGAGCAGCTGTTAAGATCCCGGTCTTGTCTGAAAGCGGAAACGGCTCTCTTGCAAGCAGTTCTTCGTTAAACGCAGCTGCAGGTGACTCAACTGAAAGTTCATCGGAAACATCAACCCCAAGCAGTGTCTAGAAAAAGAAAAACTTTCTTCCATTTGTTACCCAACAGGAAGAATAAGAAGCTGATAAGAAGCAGTGCTAGGTGACTGTTGGCTCTAGAATTTATTTTTATCCATACAAAGAACATTATCTGAAAACAAAATTGCTCGACTTCGTTACAAGTCCATTTCCATTGCTGTATATTGTAGAATTTCATTTGGATTCACATAAATTGAAACCCTTTTTTGATCTAAATTCTGGGAAATGCTTTTAAAACCTACATGCTCCATTTTCATATCTTTTGACCGTACTGTGAGTTTCCATGAGTTTTATATTCCTGCCTTGTTAAACTTGGTTCATGTATGTGTTATGTTCATGTATTTTCGTACGTAATATAGAAGAAGACGCAGGATTTAGGTCTGAAATTGATTAATCGGGCTCGACGATCCGATACGCAGAGTTGCAGGTTTCAATTTTTCGAGAATCAACCAAGTAAAAGCTAAGGTTCACGTGTTCACTGTTCTTTGGCTTTATATGTATGTCTCATTCGTTCTCATCATATCACATGCACATTTCAAGGCAAGGTTCTTCGTTTTTCGCCCTACACTTCAACTTGCTTTGATAATTTTCCTTGGGGAAAATAAGATCTAATGCAGTCTGATGTTCATAGGTAAACAAGGTTGATTCAGAACTATACCTTTCCCCACCATTCATGATTCTGCAATACTCGTATTGGTTTTGACATCTGATATCCAACAAATCCGAGGTTTGAATCGTAGCAGTCGGCCTTCGGATTATCTAGACAAATTGCTCATTGTATGGTTTAGAGTGGGGATAGTAAGAACTAGGAAGGTTCGGTGTTCGGATTTTGTACAGACTTCGATGTCACGAAGACATAGGGAATAGATGAACCGACACCAATCCAGCTGCATCCCAAAACACCTTGTTGTAGGATAAGAGATATCAGTTTAAGGTCACTTTCACTCTTAAGGTATTCATATTAATTATCTTTGTTCTCCTTAGGGTGAATCAGAGAATAAGTTCAAGTGGTGCCTCACTGTCACTTATGGAATATTTTTAGCATTTATGCAATTTGTCTCTACCCTTCACCTTTCTTATCCATCATCATCACCTTAGCCTCCCATCATACCAAAATGAAATCAATCCTCAATCTCATGCCCCTCAAGTTTCGCTTTTTTACCTTTTGGTCCCCCGAAAAACCATTATCTAGTCCCCCAGAAACCAACTTGTCCAGTTGAAGCACAGCATAGAACTGTTTCCTCTTAATTCACTCTTCTGTTTTAAGGCTGAGGATGAGTAAGCTAGCCTTACAGGAATCATCCGTCACTTTCCCGGGAAAGCCGAATCAATCGACAGCCGAGTGCTGGTTAGACGACGCATGTATCCTTGACATGGACTACTTTGTGAAGACCATCTCAGGGATTAAGTCCAAGGGGGTTCGTCCTGACTTAATTGGCTCGATCATCGTGCATTATGCGTCGAAATGGTTACCTGATCTATCCGGCGACGATGCCAAAAAGGGTACAGCGAGTCTCGAAGTGTCGTCGACAGAGAGTGTGACGGCTTCGTGGATGAAAAAGAGGTTCTTTGTGGAAACCCTGGTGGGAATTCTGCCACCCGAGAGGGATTCCATCCCATGCAACTTCCTCCTACGCCTTCTCCGGACGGCCAACATGGTCGGCGTGGAGCCTTCGTACAGAGCAGAGCTGGAGAAAAGGATTTCATGGCAGCTTGACCAAGCTTCCCTGAAAGAGCTCATGATTCCTTCGTTTAGTCACACTTGCGGCACACTGTTGGACGTGGAGCTCGTTATAAGGTTGGTTAAGAGATTCGCCGCCCTCGACGAAGGCGCTAGAAGCGGCATTGCGGTGGTTAAAGTAGCTAAGCTTGTGGATTGCTACTTAGCTGAAGCTGCTTTGGATGCTAATCTGAGTTTGGATGGGTTTATTGCGCTTGGTGCTGCTCTTCCTAGCCATGCCCGAGCCATGGACGATGGCCTGTATCGCGCCATTGATACTTATCTCAAAGTAAGTTCATATAATTTCGAAATCTTTCTACTTCAACTTCGAACATTAATTGTTACTAATTAGATCAGCTTCAGATATTAATATCACGTTTTGGACCCAGAGTTTTAATTCAACTATTTTTTCACCTCAGATTCCAACATTTCTAAAAGGAGAAGAATTAATTAAAAAAAACATATTACAGGGACCTTGTCAATGATTTGACAAGATTAGTAACCAGACAAGAGCAGGGACATATGGGGCCTTGAAAAGATTTTTAGGTTGTCTTTGTTGATGAGTAGTCGGTCTCACCAGTAAAAAGATTTTTGGGTTGCAGAGTTCCTGTAATCTCGTGAAACCTAACATGTAATAAGGGGCGGTGATTTTCCCTTGAATCAATCTCATCAGATCAATATATTAATTTAAAAATTTAGATTCAAATTAGATAAAGTATTTTACAATATATTATCTCATTATAATGTAGAAAACCCAACCCGTTCCAACGGTTGAGATCCCTAAACGTGATCCATCTTTATGACACTTTCAGTGTGTTGTGGCTTTTATCTTGTTTAAATTAAGAAGACAACTGTTGCAGGCACATCCGGGTGTGTCGAAGCAAGACAGGAAAGTTCTTTGCAGATTGATAGACTGTCGGAAACTCACACCAGAAGCGTCCCTACACGCCGCTCAAAACGAACGCCTGCCCGTTCGAGCCGTGATTCAAGTGCTGTTCTCCGAGCACACCAGGCTCAACCGGCACGTCGACTGGAGCGGATCGTTCAGCGGAATGCGGAGTCCGAACAAGGCCGGAGTCGAACCCCCGGTTCGGTGCCCGTCGAAGCGAGAGATCAACGCGCAACAGATGGAGATAAAGAAGCTGAAAGAAGAGGTGGTGAGGGTGCAGAGCCAGTGCGTGGCGATGCAGATGCAAATGGAGAAATTGATGGACAAGAAGAAGGGGTTTTTCAGGTGGAGGAAGCTGGGGATTATGCCTTCGCTCAAGAGCAGCGTCAGCGTTTTCGAGCGGATTGAAGAGGACCGGGAGGCCAACTTCGGACGGCAAACGCCGATCGATGTCAAACCGAAGCCTGTTCGAGGTAGGGCTGTTTCCAAGTGGAGAAATTCCATGTCTTGAATTTTGCTTATTTGCATGGGGATTTCCTGATTGATTTGCAGCTCAATTTGATATGTGTGTATGTTCATTTTCTCTGTTTCATGTTGATGGACCGTTCGAATTAAGGTAGGAAATAATGTAATTAACAATAATAAGATTTGTATCATAATAAATGTATTTGTATGATTCCTAGTTCACGTATCATGCAATATTTATTTCCATTGTTTTATCATCTAAACTTTGTATCATGTACAATCAATTATTGAGTAATATTCATAATTTAAACTAAATAAAAATAACAACTCACTAATAATATGTCTCTAAACTTAAGCAACAAACATGCACAGACTAATTTATTTTAGTAGTTAAAAGAATTGTTGTTTTTTAAGAGGTCATGGGTTCGAGCACTAACGGCTGCAGTAAGATGACTGGGTGTTAATTATCAAATGAATAAGAGTATTTATAACAAATATTACCTTGTAATCATCTTATCTTAATAAAAAAAAATTAAACAACAAACATAAATTCAAAATTCGAGAAGTGAATTGGGTTTTGCCAATCTTACTCGCAGTCAAAACTAGGGATGTAAAAAGTTGATCTTGACTTCTAAAATTTATTGAAATTGATTCAAGTTAAAATTATTTGTGATATGATAGGTGGTGATCCGAAATCGACTTGAGTCCGAACTGGTGTTTAATTGAACCCAATGTGAATTTGGAAATTATGGATCTGGACCCGACCTGCACCAGATCTGAGAATGACTTGAACCCAAATTGAACTGATAATATGATGACCGAACCCGACCTCTATCTAACTGAAATGAACCTGAACACGAGATTAATCTGGTAAATAATTAATATTATCCGACATGTTATCAGCATGACCTATTATGAACCTGATATGTAACTGACTCAACCTATAAATGATCTGACTTGTTATTGAACTGATATGATATTTACCTAATTTATAATTTACAATTGATTAAGTTGAGAGATTTTAAATTTATAATAAACTATGATAATTAATATCATTACATTTTAAAAGATAAAAAAAATTGTTAATTATGATAATTAAATTAATAAATTTACTTTTTATATTAATTATAATCATTATATTATAAATCTCAATAATAATAAATTATTTAATTTTATTAAATAATGTATTTATTAAACATGATTTTATTATATTATATAAAATTAATTTAAATATTTACAAGTTTAATTTATTTTTTTATGTAGTAGTTAATTAATAATTTAAATATAATTTAATTTAAAATTTTAAAATATATATAAAAGATAAATTTAATATATATATAAAAGATAAATATTTAAAATTTTAAAAGAAATATGGTTTTTTTTGGAGGGAAAATTAATTTTTGGAAGGAAAATTGATTAAAAGAAATATTTTTTTTGGAGGGATTTTTTTTTTTTGGAATTTAGAAGTGATAATTGGTGGGATCGGTTTTAGTGTCCAATAAAATGTTTTGGGTTAATTAAGCTCACACTCCTCCAACAATCAATGATTTTCTGTTTTGTTATTTGTTTTTTTTTATTTTGTTCACTTCAGTAATGTTTTAATTGTAAATCTCTTATTTAATTTTTAATTCAGAAATGACCATCCAGCTCAGTTGGTGAAGCACAAGGTTCTTAACTTTGAGGTCGTGGGATCGAGTCCCACGGAGGGCATTTCATATATGGAGGTCTCCCACGGAAGCTGCTCTCAACCTGGCGTTAGGGGCAGCCTACTATCTTACCTCCCCCTTACCCTATTACATATGAGAATAAGGGTCAGCTAATTTATTTAATTTTTAATTCAATGCAATTTAGTCATGTATACATTCTAATTCTAGTAATTAAATGTGAATGCTAATTTTAGAATATTTTATTTTAATCCTATCTTACCTCCCCTTACCCTATTACATATGGGAATAAGGGTCAGCTGATTTATTTAATTTTTAATTCAATGCAATTTAGTCATGTATACATTCTAATTATAGTAATTAAATGTGAATGCTAATTTTAGAATATTTTATTTTAATCACTTATGTTTAATGCTATACTTATATATATATATATATATTTATGTATATACTTTATATATATATACTATATACTTTATACCTTTATATATATATATATATAAGTAGATTGAGTTATATATATTGTAATACAAATGACCTTATATTAATAAAATGAACTTTTATATATATACATATATATTTAATTGTATATTGGGCTTACAAATGGATTTTATAAGTATTGGGTTATGTATTTTGTAATACAAATGGGCTTATATTCATAAAATGGACTTGTATTTATTTTAATATATACATATACTTATATATTATACTTTATACTTATTTATGTATATATACTTCATAGTTTATATACTTTATATATATACAATATAGTTTATATACTTATACTTTATATATATGTACTTATATATATATATATATATATATATATATACACACTTAATTGTATATTGGGCTTACAAATGAGTTTTATAAGTATTGAGTTATATACTTTGCAATACAAATGGACTTAAATTAATATAATGAACTTATATTTATTTAATATACATATATATATATATATATTATAAGTATAACGAATGTAATGTACATTCTATATATATATATATATATGTATCATAACATTCATCACACACGCACATATATATATTATAGTTCTTTTAATTTGATCCTTGAGTGTTGTTTAATTTATTTAAATTATAGTTAAATTATAGTTTCTAATTTCATGTTTAATCAATTCATTCCTTAAAATTATATTATAAAATCCAAAACCTTATAAACTTTTGTTCTTCAACTTTTGAAATGAATGCAATTTCGTCCATTTTTATATTAATTTAATCTTCACATGTTACAATTATTTCGATTTGATCCCTATTTGTATTTAATTTATTTAAATCTTAACTTGTAATTTCATATTTGTTCAATTTAATCCTTAAAATTATATTTGTATATGAAATTGATTATTGATATTTTTATAATTTACTTCAAACACAATAAATCAAATAACAAACTTCATTTCAAATTCTATAAATTATATCATAATCTCCAAACCCTTTAAACATTTTCACCATCTTTTTAGATGGATTTAATTTTGTCCATTTTTATGTTAATTTCAGCTTAACATTTTATAATTATTTCGATTTGATCCCTCATCCTTGCGTGTTGTTTAATTTATTTAAATTATTGTTTGTAATTTCATGTTTATTCAATTTAGTCCTTAAAATTATATATTTATTAAAATTGACCCACAATTATTTATATTTTGTTGTAATTTACTCCAAAACATATACAATTACAAATTACAATTTGTCGTTCATGAAAAAAAATTAACCCAAAAATGACCCGACCTGAACTCAATCCATACCCGGTAAGATCCGACCTAAATTTTGTCTATCAATGATGTGACCCGATCTGAACGATATCAAACTGAAGTTCATCCAAACCTGAATTAACCTGATATTTAGCTGTTTCGAACTTGAGCCGTTTTGACCTGAGTTGACATCGATCTGAATTAAAATTAACTTGATTTGAACTCAAACTAAATCTAATGTCAAATCAACCTGAATTGATTTAACTCAGACCCAACCTGTTCTAAGTAGAACCATCAAATTGGTCTGACACGTTATGTATTCAATTTAACTTGACATGACAGGATTCGACTAAAATATGAATAATTATATGATTTCACATCCCTAGCCAAAACAATGAAACTTAAAACTCGAAAAGACATTAAAAAATAAAAATAGTTATAAAATTTAAGCATCGTTAAAAATGAAAAATAAGAAAACTGTAAAAAGGAAAATTTTTATAAAACATTATTTATTCAAATTAATAAAATTGTAAATAACATGAAATTTTATAAAAAGTAAATAGGCTTAAATATAAAATACGTGCCCAAACTATAGCCTTTTTCACGAATATGTGCCTAAAATATTTTTTTACTCGTTCCAGTGCCTAAAGTTACAAACGTTACCGCTTTAGGTACCTGAGCAATCAACAATGTTAATTTCTCCCATTAAGTGACACATATCACAATCTGATAATTTTAAAATTTTCATTTAAAATAAAAAATTAAAATGATATATTTTAAAAAAAGCTTAATTTTTTTTGAAATAACCCTAAAACTTTGAAAATCTTCATTTCAACCTCTAAACTCACGCCAGTCGTCGCCTTTTGCCGTCGACAAAGCTCCACACGACTACACCTTCCCTCGTCGGCCAAAACCCTTATGAAATCGTGACCGGTCGATGACAAATCAACGTTTTATACCCTACAAACCCTAGGATGAAAATCACGATTCTGAGAGCTAATCGACAACAACTACGACGGCGTATGACTAGGAGGATGACATGGACTATGTTGGCGGCGGTAGCCGTGAATAGAAAGGACGGTGACGACGGGTTAAGGTTAGGATTGAGGGATTTTAAGGATTTTGGTGCTTTTTTATAATTTAAGAGAAATTAATTTTTTTTATAAATATAATAATATTTTGAGTATTTTTTAAAAAATAAATTTTAAAATCACTAAAATTTTAAGAAATTATAAATAAAAATAAATATATAAATTCTCAATTAAATTTAGCGGCTAAAAAAGGACCGTTACCAATTTAAGAACGATGAGGTAGGATGGAGTCTTCGAGATGACAGGCGTTTTACTATTAAATCGGCGTATGAGAGCATTGTTAATGAACCCACTGGTGATGAGCATCCTTTGTGGATCAGTATTAACAGGACTCGTGGCCTTTAAATGATTCTAATGTTTTTGTGGTTAGTTGGACAAGGTCGGGTGATGATGATTGCTGAAAGTGTGCGAAGAGGCTATGCTTCGGATAGCAGCTGCTCGATATGTAGAGAACCGGTGGAAGATATCAATCATGTAGTGAGGGGTTGCACTTCGGCTGTGCTGGTGTGGTCTATGGTGAATGGATTATAATGAACCTGGGGGATGCGTTGGAATTTGTAATCTCTACGGAACGGGGGATGTTATGTTTGGAGCAATAGTTTGAAACATTTGGTTGCATCGGAATGAGATTACTTTCAATAACCAGAGTGAGGACTCCCGTCCTATTTTAGTAAAGAGTCGACAGCTTGTTGATCTTACTTGTCGAGCTTTGGACATGAATCGGATCC